ATGCTTAACCGCTAAATAACATAGTTTAGCATAAACACGATTCTTCATTAGTTATATAGTAATTTAGTTGTATCGAAATTTAAAGAGTAGTCTGAGGATAACAGTACCTTGACCTTAACCACTAAAAAAAAAGTGCCTATCTCCGTATTCAAAGTCCATCCATAATTAAATAATAAGAATAATAATATAGTTGATATGAATTTTATATATACTTTCAGCAAGCTTATTTTAACATGACAAGCATAGAAATTAAGAACGAAGTTGGTGTAGATCCCAAAAAGCTTAGCAATACCACAGATAAAATAATGCCACGAATTAATGTAGGTCCAAAAGAGGTTAGAAATACCGCGATTTTAATCGTGGGATGCACCGGTAAATATCTAATCAACATTATTTAGCAAATGCAATATTGTTTACGAATTTATACACTCTTATAGGAGCTGGTAAAAGTACATTAGGGAATTGGTTATTAGATGTTGATGTATTTAAAGCAGACTCCACAATGGTTTGTCAATACATGTTATTTGTTTAAGTATATAAACTGCTTTGTTCAAAATTTCATTGTTTTAAGGGTTACGTCACTAGAGAATGTCAAACTGCTTCAATTCAAATTGGTGATAGAGAATTTATTCTAATTGACACACCGGGAATATTTGACGCAATGATTAATGATGCAGAACATTTATCAAGAATTGACAAATTAATTAACTTATGTTCTTATGGAATTCAAGCGATAATCCTTGTTCTTAGTATTTATTACTATTATATTCATTTTTATTTTTTATTTTTTTATTTTTTTAAAAAAAAATAGCTAATTGATTTTTAATTTAATCAGATATAAACAATTACCGAAATTTTGAAGGAACAGTTCGTTTGGTTAAAGAATTCCTTGGAGATGGAGTTGCCAAACATATGATAGTTGCGTTTTCTGGCGTGAATAAGAAGCAAACTGAAGATAATAGTATCGAACCTAAGCTTAATTCATCGATGAAGAATTTTTTGAAAACCATTCAAAATCGATGGATCATTTCTCCGAATCCTGATATATTTAACAGAGATGACCAAGTTGTAAAAAGGAATATTGCTAATGCCAAAGAGATGATTTTTAGATTTAGGGTTGCATATAATTTATCGGATTTTAAAGAAGTAAAGTATGTAGTCATTTAAATTATCTCAATTTGAATATATAATAAATCTAATAAATATATTCAACATAATTACACAGGTTACAAAAGGATCAGTTCATAGGAGTTTTAATCATCTTTATTCTTATTTTTATTTCTTTTATTTTATTATGTATAACTTTTAGTAAATAATGTGCATATTTTATTCCTAGTTGCTGGAAAATAAGTAAATTACAAACAATATTAAAATAACAATGATAACATTTTTTCTACTTACTAAGCACAAGATGATGTGAATGTATAAATAAATATTTAAAAAATTTTTTTTTTTTTTGCTTTAAATTTATGTAATATGCGCTTAAGGAGAGCTTGAAACCGGGTTTAATCAGTTTAATATATGAAAAATAAGACCAGTTCCGAACTCTAATCAAAGAACATTTATGCGTAGGCTATAAAAGATGTTATACTTTTTGATAAATCGATTACTAATCGAGAAATAATGTACATTACTCCTAAATTTGTGAATATCATATGTCAATTTCAAAGTAATGTAATTTGGATATAAAATAAGCCAGTCAGATTAGTTCATAATCACAATAAACAAAAAGGATGGCGAGACCATCTTTTCATTATTAGAGTTGAACTAATTTAATATTCGCATTTAATACTGAGTCTTCAGCAAAATTGACCGTATAGCTGCAAAATAACGAGCATGCGCGTTATTTTGAATAGCAACCCGAATTAAGCTCAACGCTCATGCTTGTTATATAGTGCTTCAATTAAACATGATGCTTGTTCGCGATTTTGATCATTAGATATTGCATGCTTAAGAACGCTAAAATTAATTTGAAATTATCGGCTCGATTCACTTCACTGACACTCATTTCGCAGACGTAACATTTCACCGACCCGACATTTTTGGTTCGCCGACACTTATTTCACCGACAAGCTCATTTCACCGACAGTTTATTTCACCGAAGCTCATCTCGCCGACAGTTTATTTCACCGAAGCTCATCTCACCGACAAAATAATTCTAGTCATTGTCATTAGGGTCAGGTTAGGGTAGGAAAATTACCGTAATTAATTACGTAATTTTACTACATGTAATTTTGATCATGTAAATAATTTGGGCCAAAATTTTTGTAAAGCTAACATAAAAATAAATATAAAATTAAAGTTTCGAACACAATGATGGATATTTATTAATACACAAAACTTTTGTAATGCTAGTGCAATTATCATGTAACAATGCGCTATATATATTGTAAAGTTACATTACAGTTTCGTAAGTTACAATGTAAATTTCATCATTACGGCGGATTTGTCAAATACCCCAAAATTTTAAAAATTTGACTGCCGATTGTGAGTCATCTAATTGACGCA